ACTTTAATTGCTGTTCATGTTCCTAGGCAGTGCAGCTACTTTGTTTACTAGAATAAGGTAGCATTAAAGAATATGTAGCTGGATGTCAAGAGACCTTTGCTGCAAGCCTGGCTCTCTTCTGTGACTTAGGAGGGTCATTTAACCTCTGCTGGCCTTAATATTGCTCATTTCCAAAATGAACAAATGGAATAAGTTTATTTCTAAGGATCCTTCTGTCTTTGACCCAAAGTAATAACCCATCTATCTATGTAAAATTCTGTCTATGACTCTCAATGTAACCACCTTGAGGGCAGGGCGTATCTCCTCTTTATATTTTTATGCCCAAGATATAGCATAATTCTTGGTTCTTTGATTATAGTTAATAACCTTTGGCATAAAAGTACTGTATTAATATCCCTTTTTCAGATACTGAATTAAAGAAGTTTACTTAATAAGATTTTTTGTACATGGAGCAATTTGCTAAGGAACAGGAATAGAATTAGTTTAGTGGAAAGAGCTAGGAAGGAAGGATGGATGGAAGAATGGATTTATTAAATGCCCATTTTAGGCCAGGCACTGTGCTAAGTGCTTTAAAAATATTCTCTCATTTAATTCTCATGGCAGCTGTGTAAATAGATGCTTTTATTACTCCCATTTTATAAAGGAAATTGAGGCAGACAGAAGTTAAATGACTTAGAATTACACAGCTGGTAAATGTCTGAAACTGAAATTGAACTCAAGTCTTTCTCACCCCAGGCCTAGCACTTGATCCACGCTACCACCTAGCTGCCAAAACACAAAGAGAGAGAGAACCTAGTCTTCTTACTTACCTGTATGACCTTGGGCAAGTCACTTAACTCTGAGTTGACTGGGCTAAATAAACTCTGAGAACTCTTCTAGCTCTAAATCTATGATCCTGTGAATTGAGATTTTTGGGTTGTCAGTAATATATTTTTGAGGTATTCTTTGCCCAATGCTATACCCAGTACTGTGAGGGATTCAAAAGAACAGGACTCCACCCCAGCTCCACTCGGAGAGCTTATAGTGTATCTGGGAAAACCGAACTAGTAGAAATGAAATAAAATTAGATTAAATGTAAAATGTGTAGAACTAGATTTTCCCAAAAGGGAAGAGAGAGAGACCTAAGTGTGGGCTGGATTAGTCAGAACATTGTGGACAGGTTTGGGACTTGAAGTTGGCCTTGGAGTATAGAGTTTGGTTAAATGGAGGGGAGCAGGAAGGACATTCTTGGTAAGGAATGATAGCATAGAGGTGAGAATGAGCGTGGGATTTGTGTTGACCTCTAGTAGAAGGCACAGTTAGAACAGCACTGTGAAATAAGTTTGTAATCAGTATTGTAGTAAAGTGGGAGTACGATTATGGCAAACCTTAAAAGCTAAGTAGAGGAGTTTTGACTTGATGGATTTATACTGGGCAGAGGAATAAATAACCCATCTCTGTCCCTTCCTCAGTACTCAAGGTCATATCACTCGTTAGAGCATTCTCATGACTACTTGCCTGAACTATTGAAATAACCTCTTTATTGGTCTCATTACTGCCAGTGTCTCCTCTCTCTGTTCCTTCAAATTGTGACCAAAATAATCTTCGTAAGACCATGTCACACCCCTGGCTCTCTCTCACATATAGGACAAAATACGGATTCTGTACTCTGACATTTATGGTCCTCTACAAGTGGTCACCTCAGCCTGTCTTTCCAATCTTGTTTCACATTGAGTTCTTTTGTGAACTCTCCATTCCATCCACACTGGCTGTTAACTGTTCTCTACACCTGACGTGCCTTCTTTGACTTCCTTTGCATTTGTGCAGGCTGTCTCCTGTGGATAGAGAACATGTCATCACCATCTCTGTTTTTTGACTTCCTGTCTTCCTTCCAGGATTAGCTGAGGTGTGACACTGCTTCTGTGAAGCCCACCCTGATTCCCCCAATGTCGGTGTTCTCTTCTTTATCATATGTTACTAGAGCACTTGGTTTGATCCTTTGTACCTCCATCACTCCCGGTTTTCTAAAATTTAATTATCTGGGTACATGTTGTATTTCCCTGCATTAGGTAAACTTTAGCCATAGGTTCCAATAAATGTTGAATTGAATTGAATTGGTGATGGGGAGAGAGCCCTGTAAACAGTGACAGAAATACTATAGAAGGAAAAGGAGTCAGTTTGGATATTTGAGCTGGGGGTGGGGTATAGGAGACTTGAAAGGGTGGGGAACCTGCGGGCCTCCAGGCCACATTTGGTACTAAGCTTTTTAGTCTAGAGGTGTGATGGTGAGACAGCCACATGAGAATCTCAGGTGATCAAACAATGTCCTTTGGCCCAGTTCTCTGTTATAATATTTGGCTAAAAGGAGAATAGGGTAAAGTCTAGATGACTTTTAAGTAGTCAGACTGAAAGAACGGAAGAAAGAAACCTGGATAATTTGAGATTTTTTATTCAATTTACTTCAGACTATGTAAAGGTGATACAAGAAAACAATTCCTGATGTAGGGTATTGGAGTTGGAATGGTTTAGAACTAGCCTCATATATATTTACTGTATGGCCCACAGAGGCAGGTCATTTAGCTTTTCTTTTTTTCTTTTCTTTTCTTTTCTTTCTTTCTTTTTTTTTTTTTTTTAGGCAATTGGGGCTAAGTGACTTGCCCAGGGTCACACACTAAAAGGTGTCAAGTGTTTGGTCTGAGGCCGGATTTGAACTCAGGTCCTCCTGACTTCAGGGCCAGTGCTCTATCCACTGTGCCACCTAGCTGCCCCCATTTAACTTTTCTGAGCTCTAGTTTCTTCATCTGTAGGATGGGTATTATAGTAATGAGTAGTACCTGCCTCACAGGAGTGTTGTCAAGATCAGAGTCTACAGAGTGCTTTGTAAATCTTAAAGTGTTATATTAACGGAGTAGTTATTACTCCTCTTCTTTCTCTCCCTCTTCTCCCTCCTTCCTTTCCCTCCTCCTCCCTTTCTCTCTGTCCTCCTCCTTCTCCTCCTCCCTCCTTTCCTCCCTCCTTCTCTTCTCCCTCTTCTCTTCTCCCTCTCTCCTCTTTTTCTAGTACTTGTTGTAAGGAACTACAATGAAAGATAGTAGTCCTGAGTTCAGTTTCTGATTTCCTAAATGTCATTTAACTCTATAACCTTTGTCTCAGTTTATTTGGAAATTGCTCGTAGTAACTTTTACTCTACAGCCAGGCTTCATGTAACCAAATCAAAATGTATGAGAGCATTTGGAAGAAAATGAGAAACTGTATTCAAATAAAAGGTGGTACTTTAAAATGTGGTATAATCGATTTATAGTTACCTGTTTAATAAAGAGGAGGCACTATGGATCAAGAGTCAGTCTCCAAGTCTAGGAAACCTGGGTTGAAATCTCTGTGATTACACCACTACTGTTTCCCTGAGAAAGCCACTTAATCTCTAATTACCCCCTGGCAACTCTTTAAGACTTTAGGCAGTTTCAGATCTTCATTGATAACCAAAGTTTCCTCACTGGAAGTTCCCTATAGTGATGAAATCTTAGGTCTAGACTCAGCCTCCACCAAAACCATCTGTAATTTCTGTTTTAGAATTTCTGACAATTTATATGTGAAATTTTGCGTAAAGCTGCATTGCTACTTATAAACTGGTGCCATTCATCTCTAAACTAGTGTGCTTTGTCTTAAAAGCCAGATGTGTTAGTCTCCCCCTCCAAAAAAATAATTACTTATTTTTGTATAGTTTCTCAGAGAATGTTGTGTATTTTATGGCCAGCTTAAAGAGATTTGGGGAGAGAACAATCAGTTCCAATCATTAAATCCTCTCCTACCCCCCCCCCCTTTTTTTTACTTCATAACAAAGTAGAATACTAGAAGAAAAAAGTATATATATATATATATATAAAATATATATGATATGTATTTTCTAGTACATATGTGTATATATGTAGGTATATATGTGTGCATATACATACATACTATATGTGCATATACATATACACACATATGGAGAGAGAGAGAGATTGGGGTAGGTATATCTTGGACATTATTTTCAGATAATTTAAAAAATGTTTTTAGTTAGTGGAGAATTATCTACTCTTTTTCTTTTTACCAAACTCAAGAGATATAGTTTTGGATAGGGTTCTGGCTTCTCTTATTATGCCAACTAGGTGATCATTACATGGTGATGTGCATGGTATTCAAGGTCTTCTGCTATTTCCTTATCTCATCTTAATCTGCCACCCATATTCTATGGTTTAACCAAAGCTGGATGACATTTATTCCCCCAAACATACCCTATATACTTTCTTACCTTCCTGTCTCGGCTCAGACCCCCATTCGAATGTGAGCTTCTTGAGGTCAGGGGCTGTCTTTTGCCTCCTTTTGTATATTCAGCTCTTAGCACAGTGCCTGTACATACTAGGCACCTAATAAATGTCCATTGACTGATTGACTGACAGAATGTCCTCTTTACTGGCCTAGTCGATGGTTAACTATCCTTTAATATTTAACTCAGATGACTCCTGCGTGAAGCCTTCCCTAAGTTTCTTTGTCAGCCACTATCCTTCCCACTTAGACTTTTCACAACATGCAGTAAATCTCCAGAGCGCTTGTTTAGTATTCTGTAGTAGTTAGTGGTGTTTTATCAATTTCCTAGGTTTTGTTTAAATGTTATCTCTCCTCTAGTACCTGGCACAAGGCACAGTGTAGTCATTTAATAAAATGCTTGAATGAATGAATCTGCAAAATTCAATTTATCCAAATCCCTGTATGTTCTATGTACTTAAATTTTATATTGAAGGTAATTAGACAACATTGGAAGAAGATGGTATAATTATGTAATTATGAACACAATATAAACTGATGAGCTGAAGACTTCTAAACATTATTTATTCTTCCTATAACTTATGTAGTTCTTCTTGACTCAAACTTTTATTAAAATATGCATGTACACATCTATATTTTGGGCCACTGTACCTTGCTCCTTTTTGTGTCAGACTATCTAAGTGCTAATTTTTATTTATTTATTTTTTTATTTAAAGAGCTGGCTGGATCCTTCAAAGGAGATCAAGAAACAAGTTCGAAGTAAGTATTTAAACATATGTCTATGGCAGAGTTATGAACTTAATCCTCATATGTCTCTTACATCTAAGTGAGAATAATTAAGCTATAAATCCTGTCATATGCCTTGCTGCAGTGATTGAGTAATCTTTTTCATTCAGCATTTATACAGTTTGAGAGATTTAAAATGAAAATTGCTGTATATTTTCTTACTGTAGCTCTTGGTCTCTTTAAAGATGCATGTTCATGTTTAACAAATATGGATACCTTGGGGAACTCAACTTGTCTCTAAAATGGCAGAGGGTGTAAAGTTGTGCTGGCGTGATTTCAGCAAAAGGAGGACATATTGCATATTGAAAGTATTTTAAAAAACAGTTGTACTGGGATGTAAATTCTCGGGTTGGAATTATCAAGACTCTGAAGTCAACCAGGCCAGTATTTTGGTCTGCCTTGTGCTGTGGTCCTTCATTTGCTGGGTGCCCGATGCCCTCCATGGTATGACTCTGAGTCGGCACCAAACCCACAGATGCCCTCTTCCCTTTCTTCACTGGTTTTTTGCATTTGTGAGGATCACAGAGTGCTTGTGTCTAGAGGCAATGCTGAGTGTCTCTTCCCTTCCTGTATCTACTGAGGGCTCACTTTATCTGCTTGGTTCGAGAATTGATGACTGAGGAGACCTGCCCTTTGCAGGAACCCCTTATCAGGGTGGTGGATGTGAGGCCAATATACTTTATCCCCATTATAGCTCAGAATGCCAGCATCTTGAACCTTCCCCATTAGCAAAAATTCCTAGTGTGCACTATCACCCCAGGACTTCCCTCATTTTTATATTCCCTTCTCTCTTTTTATTCTCATGACCACTTTCTTGACTTTGGGCATACTGAGTTTGAAATGTATGTGGGACATGCAATTCTAGATGTCCGAAAGACAGTAATGTGAGACTGGATCTCAGGAGAGAAATTAAGGCTGAATATATATATCTGGGAATCATCTGCACAGAGATGGTAATTGACACTGAGGGGGCTTAGGAGAGTGAGATAGTATTGAGGGAGAAGGTTAAGGATAGAGCCTTGGGGGGATTCTCACAGTTAATGGACATAATCTTAAGGGTGATAAAGCAAAAGAGATTTCAAAGTGATCAGAGATGTAGGAGGGAGAGGAACCATGAGATATTCGTGTCATGGCAACCTAAAGAAGTGATATTATCCAGAGGATGGTGCTTGATAGTGGCAAAGGCTACAGAGAGGTCAGAAAGGAGGAGAATTAAGAAAAAGCCATTAGATTTGGTAATCAAGATCATTGCTGTCTTGGTGACACAATAGATAGAGCTCTGGACCTGAAGTCAGGACTGCCTGAGTTCAAATCTGGTCTCAGACACTTAATAGCTATGTGACCCTAGGCAAGCCACTTAACCTCAGTTTCCTCATCTATATTATGGAGATGATAATAGTACCTGACTCCCAGGGTGTTATGAAAATAGAATGAGATAATATTTGTAAAGTGCTTTGTAAATCTTAGTACTGTATAAATGCTAGCTATTAGTTTCAGTGAAATGATGATATCAGAAGCCAGACTGCAGAGGGTTTAGATAAAAGGATAGGAGATCAGGAAGTGAGTAAATTGCTTTCTCAAGTAGTTTAAGTAAAAATAAAGGAGAGATAAAAGATAATATCAAGTAGAGATGGTAGAATCAAGTGAGGTTTTTTTTCTCAGAATCAGGAGACATGAGTATATTTGTAGGTAGCAAGGCAGACATTAATACTTTTAAGAGGAGGGTGTGTGTGTGTGTGTGTGTGTGTGTGTGTGTGTGTGTGTGTGTGAGTGAGTGAGAGAGAGAGAGAGAGAGAGACAGAGAGAGATTATGTAACACAAATTTGTAGTGGGCAATGCAATTGATAGAGTGCCAGGCCTGGAGTCAGGAACACCTGAGTTCACATCCAGCCTTAGACACTTACTAGCTGTGTGACCCTGGGCAAGTCACTTTAACCCCATTTGCCTCAGTTTCTTCATCTGTAAAATGAACTGGAGAAGGAAATAGCAAACCACTCCATTGTGTTTCCCAAGAAAACCCCAAAAGGAGTCACAAAGTTGGACCTGACTAAAAAGCACCCAAGCAAGTCAGAAAGCTTGTATGAATTTTTCCAGTTTTGTCCAGCAGCACATGAATAGGAGTAAAGGCCTTGTTCTTTCACCAGTCATGTCTTACCAAAGTCTGATAAGGTAAGACTTGGCTGATAATAGGACCAAGGAGCAAGAAAGGTGATAGTGAGAATTTGGACTGATTCACTAAATGGTTGAGATGGGGGGGAGGGACAGTGAGTATACCTGTACAGAATTGTTGAGCTGAGAAAGAACTAAGGGGTGAAGAGATTGGAAGTCATGGTGTACATGAAGAACAAAGTTATAAGTAATAGGGAAAAGAAGGAATGATAGAAGATTATGATCAAATAAATGAATTTTAGGATCCATGAATAGAGGACATGGGATAATTCTGGGTGATGGCAAGATCAAAGCTATAACCATCTCTGTGTTGTTATGTAAGGCAACTGGGAAGTTTGGATGTTTGGGGGAGAACCACTGTGTATGTTGAAGTCCCTTAGAATAAGGGCAGTAGTTGGGGAGGAAAGAGAGACTGAGCCAGCCAGGAATTCAGTGAGGTCAGGTATGAGTTACACTAGATGGCCACTGAGGTCTCTTCCAGCTCTGAGATTCTGTGTTTCTTGTGGGTTGATTTTTTGGCTCTTATTTAGATTATTTTTGTATGTCATACATTTCAGAGTTTTTAGATTTTCTAAGTTTTGGAAGACAAGATTCTTTCTGATTATGAACTGCTTTTTTATGGTCTAGTTGTTATTAAAGTGTTCTGAGAGTTATTTTTAAGACTTTTTGCCCTTGTGGCTTGGCAAGAATAAGGAAAGCAACAAATAGCATTTGACTGTTTCAAACAAATTTTGAGCCAGTTCTTTAAGTGATATCCTGAACTGTCAGAATCATGAAACCCAAGAAGAAATAGAGTATATATGTATGTTAGCTTTCATTTCCTGCTTGTTTTGAAATCTTAGGTTAAAAATTGCCCTTTATTCCTTGCCCAGCTTCTGTTATCACTAGTGAAAATATTTTTTGTTTAATAGGTAAGTAATAAAGGTGAATATTTAAATTTTTGAGAGGCAGTTAGAATAGTTGGCATTTTGCTTATTTATGTTATTGTTGATGAATGCGTTCTTATATTAGTATATTAATTTAACTGCACACAGTGTGCATGTGTGCATGTACATGTACAAATACATATTCTGCATTTATATGTTCATTAAAATAACAGTTCAGGAACATGTGAGCTGTCAGTTCAGTAAGGCATGAGAAATTCCTCCTGACTTGGCAATATATTCTAAAAAAAATAAATTCCCTGGTCTAAATATGGCTTTATGAACATGTTTACAAGAGATTTAGGCCCATGATTAAATCCTGGAATCCATCAGATGGGGTATTTAAGTGTCTTGATAACTTTAGTGGAGTCAGCAGAGGATTATGGATTAATTGTCAGTGCGAGAAGAGTGAGGTCATGCATTGCTGTTTAATACTTATTTATACCTTGCATGTTAAAAGAAGTCCTTAGAACACAAGCCAGGTGGACTTGACTGAATTTTTCTGGTTTTCACTGTGCAGTGATAGAGAATTTGAGAACATGTTACCCCTGTGACCTTGACATGCTGATTTGTTTACTTACCTAAGCCTTTAGGTTTGTCTCCATTGATTTCTTCCTTCATTCCTCTAGTTCTGTAGTCATTGGTTCCCAGGTATTCTGTCAGACCCTCTCCTGTGAGCTAATCTGTTCTTGTGGCTTCAATCATCACCTTATTCTGTGTGACTTTATCTGCAGTGAAATAAAGGGGCTGGTTTAGGTAACCCTGAAAGATCCTTCTGTCTCTATGCTGGGATTCCATATCTGTATTCCAGGTTTTGATCTCTCTTGAGCTCTAGCCCTAATATTTCCAGTTGCCTATTGGATTTTCTTGTACTTGCATCTACTGTAGTCTCTTCAAACTCCGTATGTCTAGAACTGGCTGAATCATTTATACCATTGTTCACATGGTCCCACATCTCTCCCCTCAACACACAAACTGATTCCCTTTCTCTCTCTTCCTTTTCTATAACTCACCAAATCTTGTCGGTTTGTCCTCTGTAATCATACACATATGTTCCTTTCCATTCTTACTGCTGGTACCCTTATCTAGGTTCTAGTCACTTTGTCTTACTTATTACAAAATTCTTACAGCTGTTTTCTCTGACTCTACAGTTCAGTCTCTTTCAATGTATCTTGCCCAACACTAGTTAAATGAAAGTGTCACTTTCCCTGTGTAAACATTTTTTAGTGATTTCTTATAGTTCATAAAAAAGTTCAGACTCTAACCTATCATTTGAAACCTTCCACAGTCTGATCCCAACCTTTTTTTTTTTTTTTTTTTTTTTTACCATCTCTTACATCAAGGATGTCTTTGATGAACACACAAGATAGGAAAGATTTTTGCAGAAAATTGTCTATAGTAGATCCCATCTCATTATATAGAAGGATTAGCTGTAATGATCTTTATGGCTGAGTACAAACAATTGACTTGGTACAGCAAAATGCAGCCTTTAAGACCCTCCTCTAAAAAGAAGCCTTCTATGTATATTGTAATGTTTTATAAGATTTTGTGATTGTTAGGACGACAGAGATAATTTTAGTCAACATACCTTCAAGGATTGATGTCAAAGAAAGCCTAAAAGATAAGGGACACTACTCCTTCATGAAACCCAAATTGAACAGATTCCTGATAAATGTTGAGGTTCTCCAGATATTTCTCTTTAGAGATGAAATTGTATTTTGTTATGCCAAGCCCCAGAAAACTAAAGGACCTTCTCAGGGGTATCTGTAGTAACTCAAGAGATCAGTCTAATTATCTAGAAAGGGAGAATTAAATGGATCAAAAATTACGCATTTTGTTTTATGAAGTTGGAAGGGCAACTAGTCTACCATTTATCCAGTA